CATCCATCGTTTCACCATGATGTTTACCTTTACCTGTTATTGCTGCTCAGTCACGCATGTATGGGTTTAGTGGGGACATGGCTTGAGACAGAACATTCTTTCAGTTAGCGTTTCGAGAGATACTATGCTAAATTTATTTAAAATGATGCGTCAAGCGATTGAGGGAACCGCTTCACTTTTATCAGATCACCCAAAATGTCCGTAGAAGGATGTTTCTTTAAAACACTTAAGGAGAGCTTTTGCATCCACGGGAACAGATATTTGAAGTTAGAAGTCATGACCGCCCCTCGTGCCATGACTTGTGGCACGATAATAGCTACACGAAAGAACCCTGCGATTACTAGTAATGCTATTTCACAAAGGGAACATTGAAAATGTTGAATGATCATACCATGTGCTTTTCAATGATCTGTTCACATATATGTTCACCGGTATTATACATTTCCTGCCCGACAGATTCTGTTTTGGTCGGTATTCTCAGGTGGAAACGTTTTATATATTTATTAGGTCAATCTTTGCACACATGGAGCTAGTTATTCATAGAAATTCATATGATTATTTAGTAAAAATTATCAATAAAATAAGTAGTTTAAAATTATTTTACATGTTTCCGAATGAACAAACTCTCACAAAAATTCTTTGAGAGGCATTTTAGAAGTTCTAAAGATGGAGGAAAACCAGGTTCTATAGATTGTCAACTTCTTTATTGCAATGAGTGCGACGTTTCGGTGTAGGTACTAACACCATTATCTACCGAAACGTCGCACTCATTTCAATGAACAAGTTGACTATGCATAGAAATCGAACTTAGTTTTCCTTCATATGACAAAACGTCGCACGCTGTTGCTTCTCAACGCAGATACAGTTAGTCGTGGATCCTTACCAAACTAAATGAAACAACTAGTTTAACCCGAACCCAACAATGTCGTAGCAAAGTATATCACGTAACAAAAAATAGATATGTCCTACAGATTTACTAAAAACGGAAAACCCTGAAAGAAATTTCACACTACTCGCATTGATTAGTAGCAGCAGAGACCATATAATAGATCTATTATATGGTCTCTGGTAACAGTGTTTAACTTTTTCCTAGGCAAAGGAACATATTTAAAAGGTGCGTAACTATTCCAAACACTGTTGCGATAATATACGAAGTACGAGTGGAAAGTATGTTATACAAACGTCACACATCATATTACTTGAAAGTATGTTATACAAACGTCACACATCACATTACTTACAAACACTGTTGCGATAATATACGAAGTACGAGTGGAAAGTATGTTATACAAACGTCACACATCACATTACTTACAAACATTGTTGCGATCATATACGAAGTACGAGTGGAAAGTATGTTATACAAACGTCACACATCACATTACTTACAAACACTGTTGCGATCATATACGAAGTACGAGTGGAAAGTATGTTATACAAACGTCACACATCACATTACTTACAAACACTGTTGCGATAATATACGAAGTACGAGTGGAAAGTATGTTATACAAACGTCACACATCACATTATTTACAAAACATTGCTGCGATCTTACAAACATTGTTGCGATCATATACGAAGTACGAGTGGAAAGTATGTTATACAAACGTCACACATCATATTACTTACAAACATTGTTGCGATCATATACGAAGTACGAGTGGAAAGTATGTTATACAAACGTCACACATCATGAAAGTATGTTATACAAACGTCACACATCACATTACTTACAAACATCGTGGTTGTGGAGACACCTCCAGCCCAATCCTCCACCTGAAACAGCGCGGTTCGGTCAAATGACTGTGGGTCAACGTGAAACTTAACCCACCAGACACCATATAACGGTTCATTAGATGTGGGCCAGGAGTGAAATATACAATAATTATACCGCCATCATAAACACCTACGGCCAGCCATGCTCCCCGCAGAGGACATATTCACTGCACCATTGCACGACTATAGAGAGTTTTTAAGAGAGCCTTAATCCCAGCTGGACCCAATCTCTATTTATTGAGTAAATGCTATAATGACTCTTAAAAAGGGTTTTATTGCTATGACACGGTTCTGATGTCGCTGGTATTTAAATTTATAAATTCGTCTTTGTAGCCTTAATTTGCATATTTTCACACAGTTGCCTTTCATTATCCATTTAATGCATAATGAATTCTAAACTGTATTGTGATGCTTTTGTAAACTAACTGTCTCTAACTTTATTGTGTCGAGTTATGTGATGCAACACAAAATTTCATTGGTGAATCAGCCTAGTTGTTGAATATGAAGTCTGTATTGTGTCCTATTGATCAATATGAACACCTTGAGTGTATCGTCAATCTACCCACACCAAGTCACAGTCATGAAACGTATCAGTCAGTGTAGTTTCTTGGTTGTGCTTCAGGTAGGGATGTCACTGACCTATGGTTGTGGATCCGAATCCAAATCTCGCTCAAATTATACCCCTGCTTTCGGAGTAACGGGAGTATATAACGTTCATTCTGTGAGTCCTTCCGTCCTTCTATCCGTCCTTCCGTCCCGAAACTTTGTCCGGAGCATGTCTCTCAAAGTTTACGTGTATATAAGATTTGGTGGAGCCAAGGAGAAAGTCTTGTGAGCTGATCCTCACATTATATACATCAGCATCATTCATTTCCATGTCCCAAGGTGGGAACAGAAGGACATCTCAAACCTGCATTATATCGTCCCACATGAAGCTAACATACTCTGATGTGCCTGGAACATTGTTCAAAGCAGCGTCAAATACAACTTCATCACTCAATATGAACAGAATAACCCGCACACGCCATGGTCCCTAGTTAGAAGGTATGAGTCAATTCCTGCATCTGATACGGATTATATACTTACTCCTTCACCATGATGGAGTAACGATACATTCAGAGACGCCGTGTTTCTCAAAATAAAGACATCCATATATTCCATGTTATTCAAATGTTTGTTAGATTGCGTTTACTTATTTAATTGACAGTAGCAATGAATACAATCGCCCTTCCAAATCTTCGAAGAATCTTTACTGGTCTGGCATTTAGTAATTGCGCAGGGGTTGTAAAGGATTTTTTCAGTCCTCCTGTAAATGTTTGCGAACAGATCATGAAGATTACATTTTCCCGAAGGAAGTAAACTATTCCAACGAAAGAATGTTCCCGGGGGAATGAAGCCTGTGTTACCTACTAGCCGATGAAGCGCATGTATTTCCCTGGTGAGTTGATCATATGCATTCGCTTGGTCAAATATCGCTATTTATCATAGTGCTAACACTAATTTCATCTTGAAAGAAATATTTCTGCGTAAATGTTTGAACTGTATACCGTCCAAGGTGTGTTATGTAAACAACGTATTTATTCATTTTGCTATTTCAGCTCTGTAAACAATTTACAGAAGGTTTTTCTTGTCATATATTTCCATGAATATCCCGAGTATTTGTGTAGGGCTATTCCTTTTAAACTAAGGGACCGTTCATAATTTATGGGGTAGGATGGGGTGGGGGGTGTGGTTTGATGATTTTGTTTTATGGTAAAGCATGTACAATGTGAATGACCCTCCCCTTATATTTATGTACAAAATAAGTGTCTCCGTCCCTATGCATGTCATGTACAAAATCAAAGACACTTCCTCCCCTCCCCATATTTTTGTAAGCATAATTTTTTTATAATAATTGTGTACAAAACTGCTGACCCCCCCCCCACCAGATGACGTGAACAAAATGGATCATCACCCCCTACCTCCCCAGAACAAAACATGTGAAACCCCCCTTAAAATCATCACCCATCTCTCACTCACACACACCCACACCCACTCTCTCTCTCTCTCTCTTTCTCTCTCTCACACACACACACACGCCGGATACCCGTTATGTTAGTTCTTGACATCAAATTTGCAAGAAATGGCAATATATTCTTCAGGTCGGAGGCTAAAATTTCGAGGTTTTCAATATCTTAACCATGTATTATATTCAAAGGAAGTAACTGTAACTTATGTCTAAATCTTCGATACAACCTTTTAAATTTTTAATCATGAAAAAAAATAACATAATACATTGTTTAATGCATTGCATGTCACATTATCATAAAGGGTCCGGGTATTGAGACGGGTACCCGGGTCCAACTCATTACCCACCCGTTCCGGGTATCCGGGTTACCCGTCCCAGCCCTAGTCTCTAAACAATACAAGTATGTGCAGGGGCAAGAGACGACGGAGAGAAAATCGTGACATGTGAAGGTCTGCTGACGACCAAGGAAATCACAACTCTTTTAAAATATACAAATATTGATAAAATGTCCTTGCACTATGTGTTATTATGTGATCGACTTTATTACCCATAATTAGGGTAACTAACCATGATTCATTCATAGTTCCATCAATAAACACAAAATATATAAAAAGAAGGAGTTTTTCTTTTTCACATAATCAACATGACATAAATCATCTGCGGAATACATTGGTCAGTGTTATTACCGTAAATGTGAATAGTCACATGCCAACAGACATTAATGATACTTTCAGAGCAACAATATTTGTGTATTGCTTTGTCAACATTGATCAGGGTGACGTTTGAACATCGTTAAGTGAGACTGTTGGAGTTGTAAACAGTAGTGAATTATAGGCAGCATGTTTGGTAAATGTGGGAGGAAATCCCGAAGTACTGTTGGTCACACATCTTTACCACACCGGTGAAACCCAAGACCAAGGGTACGCTGCTGACGACCCAACACTCATTGTCAGGAAAGATCTGGGATTCCAATCCACGATCTCTGAATCCTTGTAGGCTCAAGCGCAATAACTCAGGACAGCGAAATGCGTGATCGGGTTTCGTGTGCGCGTCAGTATTCTCTGAATAATTGTTTGACAGGCCTCCAAATGGTTTCAGCTGAAGTTGGACAACAGGAAGAGATCCACCACATGTGGTGTCGTCAGTGTCTAAAAGTGTAATGACAGGCAAGAGGCGCACTAGAGTTTGTGGAGTCTAAATTAAAAGGCATATATTACACCGGGTTGCCACTTTTAGAACTGACGACTTCTCTATGGGAGACGTCCTCGTGACTGAAACTGCCGTGTATCACGTTGTCAGCGGAGTCTCTAAATGTATTCACTGGGAATAGTGGACTGCCTTGTGAACTCGTCTCGGGTGTACAGGACATTGATGAAACCTCGTCCTCACTCTCATTCAACATAATGTGCTTGATTTCGTCGTCTTCGTCAGTGAACGCAGCGTCCTGAACATCCCTGAGAAACTTGTCCAGCTCCTCCTGTCCTCCAAGCTGCTTGTCCAGCCAGTCTTTGGCCTTGTTGACCACCACCTCCCACACTAGACGTTCATTTGGGCATTCCAGCGTCAACCAGCAAATCGCCAACCCAGTCGCCCATACATTTAAGTCCTGAACAAAAAGAAGGATGTGTATGTAATACTATGTATGTGTTGAGCTGTTATTAAACTCGAGCCAGTTCACCTGAATGGGTGCTGGGTAACAGCTGGATGGAGCAGTAGGTCATTACTAGTTTCTTTGCTTCCGTCCACATTTGGTTATATAAAGAAAACTTGGACAGGTAAGGTATTGATTTAAATCACTCACAGTGCACACTGCCATCTTTATCAGTCTGTACCGATGTACATTGATGAGACAACAAAGTGCCTCACTCAGCATCCAAGCGCCGTCATCCTCCTGCAGTGTCACCATCTCACTCGCTGTGGGCGAATCTGAACAACTCAACACGTCATGGCTGATACACGTTCGATCTGAATTATACCAAAGGAAAGATCAATGGTAAAAGTTAAAGATTTGTATCCTTATTTGTCGTACATTAACATATTTCAGATGTATGATCCCCAGGGAGTTGAGATTGACAATACGATGTGCCGTTGAGATTGACATCCAGTGAACGAGGGAAAAACAAAGCGCCTTTGAGCAGCTGAGCTGAGCTGGATATCGGCGCTATACAAATGTTAGTATGTATGTATGTATGTATGTATGTATGTATGTATGAAAATAAGCGAATAACAGGCAAATAACCCACACCACCTCTGTGACATGTCGCATGTTTATGATAGTCAATGTTCAGAATACTGTTGACGAATGAGGTGACGTATGTCAGGCCATGTCGTGTTAAGAAATAACAACCGTACATCTGTTTGATTTCTGGCCATGATCAATACATTTGTAACTGAAAGAAACAGTTGACATCGGGGATTGTGAGTGAACGACTTTCATAATTCCAGTTAAAACATGGTTTCACATGTTGGATGAAAGCCTAAAGACCATCCCTTCTGTGATCCCAACACGTATGAGCTGCCACACCAGAGTGCATGACCAGTGCAGATTAAACCAACGTGTATTGGATTCAGTCATGAACAACAGATACAACAAATTCCGACACCTTAGACGACCTGTGTGTTATACCATCAGGCGACAGCTGTCAACTTCGGGTAATGTCAAAGCCTACACTCACAGATATTATTGTTAAACAAATGAGCATTGTATAGAGCCGAATACAAGATTAGAAACAGAATGTTTATTGCAAATCAAAATGTTTCAAATAAATGATTCTATGTCACTAATACTTTACAACGTTAACTGTATTGTATTGTAATAAGTGTCTACGTTATAATACGTTTGAAATACGAAAAGCAGTAAATGACGATGGAAGGCCACGTGTATGATAAAGACAGGTTGATGTTGTCACCCCTGTATTCGTATAACGATGTAGCCAGGTTATGTATTACCTTCATCAGTGGTCTCTGCTACATCAGCTTCAGTTGCACTGCAAGAGACATCCATACACTTGTCTAACTGTTTAATCAGCGTAACATACGACTTACAACCACTTAAAAATATCGGATTCTTTCATAGCATGACATAATTATGTTTTATTTATAAATTATTCATAATTTATTTATGATTATTCTTTGGTTATTAGTTTGTACCATATTGCCTTTTACACTTACAAGACCAGGTGTACATATTATGATTATCATTATTATAACGGAGATATAGTGAAACCTTGTTAAACCGGACGGACTAGGCTCCTTGTGACTGACTGACTGACTGAGTTTGGTTTTACGCCGCTTTTAGCAATATTCCAGCAACATCACGGCGGGGGACACCAGAAATGGGCCTCACACATTGTACCCATGTGGGGATTCGAACCCGGGTCTTCGGCGTGACGAGGCTCCTTGTGAAAACGTTAAGAGTAACACATTTCGGGAATACCGGGACACTTGCATTTAGAAGCCATCCTTTAACTGTCGCATATTGGATAACAAACAATTACCGAGGTGCCACAGTAGAAGTATTTTTCACACAGTTATCCGAAAGTTAAATAGTAATTATAAACAAAAATAATCACGATTATGGACACGCCAAACCTTACTCGGGAATCGTTCATACCTCATGTCCGTACGCGTTATCTGACGTGTAGTGGGCTGGGGGTGGTCCTCGGTGGTCAATACGTCCACACCAACGAATGACGTGTACTTTGAAACTACATTACCCGACATACTGGCAGCTACTATCTCATCCTTCTTCAACCCGCCGAACTCTGTGAAATAAGTCATACATACATGCTGACTATTACTGCTACTAATACTAAATATCATCTGCATAAAACATTAATTGATTACAAACAAGTTCGCCAGAGAAACACCATATCCAGCATTTAATACCTAATATTCGTATCTAAGTCGTGCTGGTATACATAGATGAGAAGACGGGTGTGGAGGGGCAGTGTCGAGGGGTGAGGTACGTTGTGAATATGCTCATATTTCCAGGCGATACTTACAGGGTTGAATAGTTGTTCCATGCAATACTATTGTTTTGTTTGTGTGTTGTCTCAAGCCTCACTCAGAAATATTCAAGCTATATGACGGCGCTTTGTAAATACGTTTGATGTACATTTTTTTTAAAAATAGATAATATGTTTGGTTTTGTGGTGAAATAAGGTGTGGTGTGTGGAGTGTGGAGTGTGGTGTGTGGAGTGTGGAGGGTGTTGTGTGATATGTTTGTCATGTGGTGTGATACGTGGTGTAGTTGGGTGTGGTGTGTGGAGTGAGGTGTGTGGTGTGATATGTTTGTCATGTGGTGTGATACGTGGTGTAGTTGGGTGTGTGTGTGAGGTGTGTTTGTGTGAGGTGGTGTGATATGTTTGTCATGTGGTGTGATACCTGATGTGGTGTGATACCTGATGTAGTTGGGTGTGGTGAGAACTGTGCAGTTTCATCTGTTTGTGAGGAGTGTGAGGTGTTGCAGTGTTTTGTTGTTGATGTGACGTGTTATGATGTGATGAGGTGTGCTGTGATGTGAACTGTGCGTGGTGATGTATGTGTTCCATGCCGTGTCCTTGTACCTGCTTTATTACCTTTGTCGATGACTTCCAGGTGTTTGATAAGAGCGTTGATGGCCATCCTGTGCATGTATGTTTCAGACGTGGTGACCGCGTCCCTGGAGACGTCGAACGTCAGCGTGTGCGTGAACCCCTTCTCCCCAATCCTGCCAGAGACTCTGGCTGTTCCGATAGATGGCGTGTGACGATCAATCTGTGTAGAGAACGTGAGTGAGTGAGTGAGTTTGGCTTCCCACCACTTTGGGTACTTCTTCAGTAATAACCCGGAACATCTGCTTGATGCGGAGGAATGTCTGAAGTGATGCAGTTCTTAAGCTTTCACCATGTCACGAGTGTTAACAAACCATAAATCGTAATAGGGCGAGTGTATTGTCATATCTTGTCCCATCCTTCAGTGTAGGCTTTCTTCATTATGATAAATACAATAGACCCATTCAAATATACTTCGGAAGTGACTTCTCAATCTCGTTTTTCTCGTCACCTCCCGCTCATGAGAATAATATGATAATTGTTTATAATGTCATTTCCATTAAACACAGCTGGGGTAGCGAATAGGTTCATAAAACACAGAACGAAGATAGAGACCCTGGCACATCGAGGATGGTATGGCATGGATTCGACATCCGTGGTTTGTAAGTGCATGCATTACTGGCATTGGTGTTGCATAACATCTGCTCACTCAATTACTAAAATATAGAAGCACCAAGATATTATTACAAGTATTTTATAATATCGGTATGTTCATACTCTTGAAACAGCACGCTGGTTTACCGTCACGCCAAAGTCGCGGGTTCGATCCTCGTCTTGGTTAAATTCACGAAGCCTTATCTTGCCTCACACATAAATGTCGTTTTCTGATTGGTTGAGAGCTCTTCTATTATTTTCAATGTACCCAGCTTACAAGCGAGTAACATTTTCTATGTACCCCGCTGGGAATGCCAAACTCATTTGGTACTTCGTAGTAGTAATTCTTTATCTCGAATGACATTGAATCACGTATGATGTACGGAAATTACCGATATTTTGCGAATGCAAATCGATGGAAGGGAGATAACTCTAAATTTGTTTTTCTTGTCGTCTTGTCGTCTGGTACTCCATACTATGATCCGATACCCGTGCTTCAAACAGTTCAAAATTACCATTGAGGTGTTCGGTAAGATAAATACGTTGTTCACATAAAGAAACATCGAGGGTACATCAGCCCATGTCCCCCTCGAGACCAGTGAACAACTTATAATGTCATGAGATAACATGTCTCAGTGACATGTTGTCATTCACAGGTCTTCACTCCATAACATCTGACGTTAAGGACCTTAACTACCCAACTTCACTGAGTGTTGGTGACGACGCTAAGTCCATACATTTGAGGAAGCATCAACTAAATTTGTATAAAGTTCCATAAATAGAGGTTACAAAACTCTTTATATTGTCATAAAAACTCTACACAAAGGCATGGTCGAGTTGTTTCTTATGAGTTTCACGATATACTATATTCACCTTCTTATGAAGATTATCAGCGTCTCTCACAAACTCCACCAGCCCACCTCCGGCCTTGGCGACTCTCCTCACCAGCGACGTCGACAACGCAGCACCGACACTCACTGTAAAGACCCTGGGTAGAGACAGAGTTTACAATCGTAGACACCTAGACACTGTGCCTGACAGTGTTAATTATTAAACATGTATGAAACTTTTACATGGCGCCGGAAATAGCTCGAAATGCGTTCCTTGACGTGGAGGAATATTGCAACATGACATCAAGCTTATCATTCTGCTTGTCCCTATATACGTAACTGGAATGATGCTGAAAGCCAAGTTGAACCCGACAGTTTTACCTGACATTATATACGTATCGTCATATGTAACACTTTGACGATATCAAGGTACAATTGAAGGTTTGCTGTGACACCTAGCCCGAAGTAAATAAGATTCCTAGGAAAGCGCACCTGCACGATCTGGCTTTCCTCCTGACCAGGGCCACTACGTGACCGACCCTGGAGACGTCTCCGTCCGTCAGAAGGAACACCTGCAGCAGAACACTGATACATAACATCCACAGGAGCGACATGTCGCATAATCTAACGAGAACTTTTACTGGAGGAAACACATCTAAACCTTTACGATAAATTTACAATTTCACGAACGACGATACTGCTACTGCTACTGCTACTGCTACCACTTTTATTAATGCTACTCCTGCTACTACTACTAATGCTATTTCTACTACTATTGCCACCACTGCTAATCGTTAGACTACTGCCACGAATGACTGTGACCATCACTATTCATGAAGCTGACAATAATTCACTAAATATAAACATTTTTATTGTTACTGTACAATATTAACATTTTCGGAAATGAAAGTTAAATTGACAAATGTAAACAGAGTAGTTCTCTGGGGGTATGACACATCCCGCTCTGATAAACAGAAGTCCTACCTGTCGTGAGTAGCCGGGGATTTCTCCTCTCTCCAACACGAAGTGTATCGGGTTAAAAAACTCACTTCCTCCCATATCCGCCCTCAGATCCTCCTGGAGCTCCAAGGCTTTCTTCAGGGAGGCTGGCCCGTAACGCTCGCTCCCCCTTCAAAACATGGTTACACAGGTATTTTGAAGGATCACGGGGGAAGGGTTCGCCCACCCAAACCCATTCAAAAACATAAAGGACCCCCTGGCAAGAGTAAGAAACATAATTGCATACATATTCCTTGGTCTTATTAAAGAAAAAGCACCCCAAATATTTTCGATTTTAAATTATTTTGGAATTTCAATTACAAACTTGCGTGTACAATTGATTAATCAATAAAATACGAAATCGTGTTTCTGTTTTGAACTTTTGTGTGAATATTTCCCTCTATCCCCATTTAAGTTATCAATTAAAAATTATCTTGATTGAATAGAAAATCGTGATTCTGAGTTATGGTGTTAAAATGCACTTCTGTATTTATTAAATTCCTTTACCGAGGGAAAAGGGGAGAAAATCCGGTTCCAAAGCTGATGACATTGAAGTAGCAGTCTGTCGGAAGACTCTTCAGGAAGCACAACAGAAGGTCTTGGGTTCTTCGTATCGGTTTGCCACTCATGCTGCCTGTTGTGGAAAGAATTGCCAGTGTCAACACCACCAACTGCATGACTATTTTGCGTGATGGTTATCATTGATACGGTTCGTATGCCCGGTAATTGATTCTTTGTTTATAACGCCATAACAAACAGTATGACACGTTTAGGAATATGGTCTGTAAATACTCAAATCTAGACCAGACATTCAAGGGTAACTTTCATATAGTGTGGTATCTTATTAACAAAGTAATATGTACACACATCCTAGAATAAACATGCAATTATTTAGGTTTAGCCCAGTGACCAGAAACAGCAGCAGGAATTGTCTCCCTTAGTTGTGCCAGTATTCGAAGGAATATCTTGACAACTATTCTAGGCTTGTCATCACATATTAGTGATTTGCACAAATGGATAGTACCTATATCTACACCATATTAACCTGACACGCCACAACATATATTGCCGAAAATATCCACCATCATCATAACCATTCGATTTATAACGAACGCGTTAATAACGAACTGGCTCATATGAGGAACTGTGTACTTTGGTACCGGTCACTTGCGGTCGAAATGCCTGTAACGAACTACGGTTGTAAAGAACTAAAGTAGTACCTTTGTGTTCGTTAAAACCGTATTTCACAGTAGTTGTATATACGACGGCTGGCTACAGAATCCTGTATGCATATGATCATACAACACACGCATCATACAACACACGCGTCCGATCATACAACACACGCATCATACAACACACGCGTCCGACAACACACGCATCAGGCAACACACGCATCATACAACACACGCATCAGACAACACACGCATCATACAACACAAGTATCATACAACAGTACAAGCCGCCTGCACGTACCTGATCGGTCTAAGATGAAGATGAACTCAGCGTTCAGAGGCCCCGAGATGACATTTGGGTGCAAGGACATCATCAGTATGTCTCGCCGAAGGAGGGATGAAGATGCACCTGTGTATGACAACAGAAACGACTAACGGAGGGATATATTCGAAGCCTGGCAACTGACTCAGCATGCTTGCTCTTAGTTATCGGTGAGTTTCTACTGAAAACATGGTCCTTTCATATCTATTTGTTTTAAATGCCACACTTAGTTATATTCCAGCTACGTCTCGACTGAAATCAGCCGTCAAGAGCAAACAAGATGTCCAGAGCATACAATCCGCCAAGAGCATACAAGATGTCCAGAGCATACAAGATGTCTTTAGCAAGTGGAGTGATTATTGCAATGACAGGACCGACACACTCGTTGCCTCTCACAACAAGGGCGTGTTACTTTGAAGTCAGAATCAGGACTTCAATGGCATCAGTAATATATACCAATAACAATCAGGCAGCGGGGTATCCAACAATGAAACCCCGTTAATCAGACCCACCATAACCAGTCACTTCTGGAAGTTAAAGACATTAAAGTATACATTAACATAATATCAGATAGTTCTAATGAAGATACGTCGTCGTATGCGCGGACGTTACGTGGTTGCCCGTTTAAGGGGTTTCCAGACTAAAGGGGTTCCTTCTAATGGGGTTTCCTGTTTAGTGATGTACGACGGTACCTTTGTCTCCTTTCTCCAGGGAGGTCTGGATGTTGTAGTCTTCCCCATATAGAATGTTGAACGATAGGTTATGTGTTGGACTGAATGGTTCAGTGAGACGTATCTGAAATGACACATCGTTCACACATTGACGTCAAAGCTTCATGTTAGGCCGATGCACATATTCACTTCATCAGTTAAATCGTTCTGAGAAAACTAAATGAACTATTGCTCCAACTGCCTTCTTAAAACAAATAGTTGTCAACTTCAACATCATTCTGTAAGATGTATGGACTATATAATGGTACCTACTGTGTACCACCACCACTACCATCACCACCAACACTACGACCACCATCAACAGCTGATCCCTAAGGATTTGTTCTTTCTTCTTTATTACGTATTACATTGCCCAAATAAATTATTAAGTGGTACACAAGCATGTCCATAATTAAGAAGTCGTATCATTTTATCAATTTTCCAACGATGCTAAATGTGCCTCTGTTCACAGAAATCGATGATCTTGTTGTATGTTGTGTGTCCCCTCCGTGGTATTGCTATTTGACAACACTTTCAGTTGCACTCCTAGAACCTGCATCTTGTGACGCTGGGCGATCACGGGAAACATACCGGTACCAACTTCGTATAGCAGGTGTGCTGAACATTATAGAATTCACAATAATGTCAGACCGAAATATTTCTATTTTGACAAAACAAGACGTATACACAATCGAATTCAGGTTACTTTGCAAAAAAATATGTATTTTTATAAAATAATACAGGATTCTGACAATGCTGGAGGAATGATGTGGCTAAGGGGAAATTTGCTGAGATACACTCTTACTAATCGTGTTACGGATGGGCCTGTTTGTGTGTGTGTGTGTCTCTGTGTGTGTGTGTGTGTGTGTGTGTGTGTGTGTGTGTGTGTGTGTGTGTGTGTGTGTGTGTGTGTGTGTGTGTGTGTGTGTGTGTGTGTGTGTGTGTGTGTGTGTGCATGCATACCGTCACGGTCTTGACGATTCCGCCGTCCACAACCGTGGTCAGCCTGTCTGTAGTGGACCACACCCTGACTATCTCGTGCTTAGACACCACGGTGCCGTGGAAGGTCAGATTGTAGCAGGTTGCACTCACATCAGGCACAGTCGCATCTTCATCTGCATCTACGGTAACAGAAGACAAACATCAGCTTATCGCCTGTTTCGGCAATATCCATTGACTATATGAAGAATGGCTTTGACATTGTATTCATGGATGGTACATAGCGAGTCTAGTTAGTCGGCGTGACGAGCAAATGTTTTCATCACTAGGGTCCTCCACCGTCTCTGTATGTAGTTGTCATTACTAAAAGATGTAGTTTTCTTTGGGAAAATCTTGTAATTGAGCGACATGTCAGATGTTCATTAACGAAGTTATTTTTCGTGTATTTGTCAACAAACGTAACAATAAAGACACATTGTCGCAGTTTCAGACTTATTGATCTGATACGCTGAATGGTGCAACTAGTACAGTTTATCATAAATGTTAAATATTGAACCAAACAAGGACTACATACCTAAATTTAATGGAGGAATTGTTCAATGAGAGAGAACAGCAGTTTGAACCAAAGAATTATAAAATTTGGGTATATATTCCTATTCCTATTCACATTGAACAAATCCCCCACACCCCGAAAACAACAACAAACAAGGAGAAAAAAAACAACCCCAAAAAACTAAAACTCTTCTTAGAAGCTGCGAGATTTTTTATACTTCTCTGTAGTTATACACATGTGATAAATTGTTATTTTGCATTTATAGTACTAAACTTCGAAACCTGTCTTAATGACAATTTTCTGATAAAGGACACATCGCCTTGTCATCTCATTATATACTATCACCTTATTACACATACTGAGTGCATACAGTAAGGATGTCAGCTAATATCTTGCTTCACACATAAATGTCGTTTTCTGATTGGCTGAGCGCTCTTCTATTATTTTCAATGTACCCAGCTTACAAGCGAGTAACATTTTCTATCTAACCCGCTGGGAATGCCGAACTCATTTGGTACTTCGTAGTAGTAATTATTTTTCTCGAATAACATTGAATCAGGTATGATGTACGGAAATTACAGATGTTTTGCGAATTCAAATCGATGGAAGGAGATAACTCTAAATTTGTTTTTCTTGTCGTCTGGTACTCCATAATATGATCCGATACCCGTGCTTCAAACAGTTCAAATTACCATTGAGGTGTTCGGTAAGATAAATACGTTGTTCACTGGTCCCTCGGGGCCCATGGGTTGATGTGACCCTCGAGACCAGTGAACGACTTATAATGCCCGCCTGGTTGTGAAACGAATTAAGAAGTGAAAAACACGGAGAAATCAACAGTCGTAGAAAAACAAATGTCAAGAAAGAAATCGTTGTTGATGTTGCCTTACCTTCCGTGCTGGGACGTTGTCTGGGGTTGAGGACCGTGGGGAGAACAAACTTGAGAGACCCATCAATCTCCTGAGCCAGTTCCGTCACGAAAGAAAACTGGAGTTTGGCGTCGGAATTTGGTGGTAGATTACCCAACTTGCATCTGAAGATGTCTCCTGAAGCTTCTTGTTCCTCTCTCATAAAAGGAGGTCGACCAGCAACATCAGCTTTTGTGTAGGTTTCTGTGACCTTTATGAATGACAGAATGTACTGTGATATGTCGTCATGCAATGTTGTAACTATCTTACATTCCTTCTGTTACCAAGCACCAAATCACCAACAGTTCTTAACACTGTTTTATTTCATTTAACAAACTGAATAATTAGTTGTCGGCTATGTATTACTACATAACGTAATCAGTGATGTGGAAGTTACTATATTTATCAAGTGTAGTCTGGAAACTTCTAGAAGAGTATAGCCTAATCCAGCTTGGTACAGATCTTTCCTGGAGGTATTAACACTATACAAGTGGGAAAGCGCATGTCTCTTTCATCTTAAATTACGTTACGATCAGCGGTTATGTGGAGATTACGTTTTCACCCTGGATACCCAGCCTGTTGCTACCATATGTTTTAACCATTAGGTTTTACCGACACGAATTATGTATTTTAACAACTCATTACAATTCTTAAACGTAATTGATCTGGACCAGACACATGACTATTATCAACGATTCATGGTGTATGTCAACAGACAATCAACGACGTCATGTCAAACAGATCCAAATCGCTTCGTACCACAACCAGTGTTAACATAAGCTGATGAGGCCAGGGGATGATCGAGGTGTATAATCATGCTCATGATTAAGTTTGTTTTATCCTCACCTGTTGTTTTTCTTGAATCTCAGCTTCGTAGTGTCTGTCGTCGATGTCGGCCACAAGTTTGTACACCACGCTGTTGTCGTCCATGGGGAAGAGAAAGGCCACGTCCACTGTGGTGTCCTGGACATTGCGATACTGGACACATGCGTCAACGTTAGCCAGGAAACCTTGAATACTCACTGATACGTCAACACTCGTCAGAGGCACTGAAACATGACAGTGAGCAGGCGAGTGGGGTCTATCTCAGAGCCAGTGATAGTGGGCACAGAGTTGATAGAACTCTTTAGTCAAGCATTTCCCATTCCATTTGATCACTTACCACTTACAACTATGTCGGGACCAGTGAGGATTGCGGACTCATGGGTTTGTATCGGAGTCATTCAGGCAACGGTGCCATAAAGGTTGACAGAAAAACAAAACAAAACACACACAAAAACAAACAAACATCGCCGAGTCAGTTTACGATCTTGCAATGATTTTAGCAAATTAACGTCAGTTGCACCACTTGATGACGTTAGTGTTTATGTTATTGGAGTTCTTACACTTTCTTACAAGACAACCTAACCATTTGCCGGAACTGGCTGTAATTCATCATCAGCTAAGATAGCTGTGTGTATACGCCACTATTATATACCCACTTATATCAACTTAGACTTTAGAGAGTGTTCAAAATGGGCAATAAATATATCACAAAGTCTTGTAATTATATTTATTCTCAAACCCATGAACGTGTCATTGAAATACAGTCGTAAGTAACCGTATCCAACTGAGGTTCGTTGAGCAATCGACATGTGTAAATATAGATGCGATGTCCGAGATGCGATGCTATATCCCACCGTCCAAGAACTCAAAGTTTTCCTCCACTTGCAGCAGCAGTTCAACAACATCACAAAAACCGAGATGTAGGCACGTGGCGAATCAAACCCGACACTCCGCCATGACGAAACTACAGACTTATTTTTTGCGTGCAAAGGGACTTGAAAAGAAACGTCATTAAACATTTCACTAACACGTGTCACGTCGCTTGTAGGTTTATTTGTTAGATTGTTGCTTAACGTGACACACGGCAGTCCGTAAATAGTGGAGTCTGGACCAGACAATCGGGTGATTGACTTGATGACATGACGATCTTGGAACCAGACCCCCCGATCCCGTTAGTCACTTCTTACAAGCACGGATTGCTGAAGAACAATTTCTTTACTAGTCTAGCGCTTGTTAGATGTACTGATGTTATTAAAGAAGATTTTGAGACAAAACGTAGGAAAACTAACACCGTTCACCCGGCGTGCAATGTTTGGCTGACGAATGGTGATGTACACATACTGTCTCAACATGATGGAACGGTTTCTTGAACATACAATAATAACGATAAGGGAAGAAATGTTTCTGCCAGTCCAGTAAGAGTGGACGAGACAGGACACGGTCCAGTACTTACCTGTTCGCCCCTCTTGTCCCCTGATCACTAGACCGGAGGGAATCGCCATATTCTCCACCCTACAGCCACACTGACCCCAATACACTACTAACCCGCAACTGCCACCCCGACCCAACAGCTTGTATACCAACGCCTTTATTCCTCAACACACCGATGAGTGACTGGACACAAAGAAGTGTTTTCAATGTTTTTCTGTTGCACTGAGAATATTCTGGCGCGGTGAATCGTATGATTCCATAAAGGAACTCCGAGTAATTTCTTTGCCTATTTATCCAGCTCATTGAGTGTTAGACAGTCATAGTGAATGTTCACAGATCATATTGTATACAAAGATATGCGGTATTTGTGTATTCATTGGCTTGTAAACAGGTTAGTGGTTTTACTTTCAATGTGCTATCTTCTGATTGTGCGCAGGACGTACTCTAAGGGAGCGAGTTCCAGTGTAGTACTGATCACCTTGTGTGAAGGGGCACTGGCGGCCCTGTTGTAGACAGTGCCGTAATGACGGACATAGTGAGTTCCAGTGTAGTACTGATCACCTTGTGTGAAGGGGCACTGGCGGCCCTGTTGTAGACTGCGCCGTAATGACGGACATAGTGACGTTCCTGACAGAAACGTTGGGTCGGGAAATCAGATTCCAGATTTATGTTTTCCTTTAGTCATCACCAGACCCGTTGTTGTAGATCTCAACAATGTGGTAGACGTGTCAGATCTCATTTCAGAATCACATCAGAGTCTGCCATTCGAATATCCTTTTCACCTCGGGACTGACTCTCGTGCTTCAAAACAACGAAATGTCACCAAGAACATGCGTTTTGAAATACACTCCGTTGGAATAATGGTTAAAGTATGTTAAAGAGGGGGAAAATGGATCGCTTGTTTGCTCGTGTTACTACACCCAGAAGCTACATTCCTTCCACAGGTCACGATGACGGGTGGTTATATGTGCAACAAGAGTTGTCTCCCTTTGGCGTCGAAAACAGAGCGCGCACTATTGAATTGGTGGTTCAGTCAAATCAAGTTATAACTGAAATGTTTATATAATACGAAATCGATTTTCTGAAAATTGCCCAATTTGCGGTTGTACGTAAAAGTTAAAAAACTAAGAAGCCGAGAACATAACACCGTGAGATCGGGACACTTGATCAATATTTGCGGTAGAGGTGTTGGCCACGTTTTTGGAGAGTATTGCATAGATTCAAAATCCTTTTCACTAAGCAGACGATTGTGAATGCAATGAATACATTTTTATGCATGTCAATACAATCAATCGCTTCAGTATGTCTATATGTAGACTCTATTTCTGTCCCAAGTCGCCCCTATCCTTCTGGATGCAAAGTGTTATTTTTTCTTAAAATCTAAAAATTGAACGTTGCGCGACAATTACACATAACAGATATGTACAATATTAATTCCCTGTCCGATGGAGAATATTGAAGTGCAAATACTTATGCGGTTTGAAAAGTAGACTCGTTAAAGACAGGAATACTTTCTCCGTTTTTCATCCTACACCGAAAAGGCACTGTGTGGAGATATTACATATTTGGCATCTTCAGGGAAACTGCGAGCGAACAAATTAAAATACTGAACGAACGATATCGGAACGACACATCAATATCTCAAATAGACTAACGGGCAAAAGAAACGATACCAAGTCGAAATCACTGATATTACAAACCACCATTGTGAAAAAGGACAGTGAATTTTAATAATAGGTGTATGGGCAACATGAACTCGGTCATTTCATTGGAGTAGCAGCAATAACAAGTCCATTGAGTCAGTGTATAAATGAAGGAATGAAGTGTCCAGTATTCGATCACAGATGTAAACAATACAACATACGTGGTCAGTGTCTGGTATGCCCACTGTGGGCATCAACTCTACGACGTGCTGAGAACGTCAGACGCCGTATACCTTGAGGGGTCCTTTGCCATTCCTCTTGAAGGGCTTGGACAAGCTGACGTCGGTTATAACGGCCCCAGCACGAATCTGACGATCCAAATGGTCGCACAAGTGTTCAATTGGTGACATTGACGTGGAGGGCCAAGGAAACACATTGATGTTGTTTCTTTGTAGAAAATCCATGACAATATGTGCTGTATGAGGACGCGCGTTGTCCTGCTGGAACATGATCCGGTTACGGCGTTGGCGTAGGAATGGTAGCACAATCGGACGCATAATTTGATCAATGTATCGTTGAGCAGTGAGATTACCATCCACCACAACAAGATCTGTCTTCATACCGTCACATATGCCGCCCCAAACCATGACACTCCGCCACCAACGGTTCCACTGCCTGTACACAGAAACGTTGCACACGTTCTCAACGGCGTCTGTTGACACGAGCCCTACCATCATTCCTGAACAGCTGGAACCTGCTCTCGTCTGAGACCATCACTCTCTGCCACTATCTACTTTCTGTTTTGCCACTGGCGAACTGTGCGTGCCCATCGAAGACGTTGATTTTGATGTTAAAGCGTCAGCCGTACACCACGGTAGGGTCCGTAGGCGCGGATACCGTCGTGCTGCTGTTCGTTGACTGATAGGATGTCCAAGCCCAGTCGCTGCTGATGACGTCACAGGTAGGAAACGGTTTCTTCCACTTCTTGGCCAGTCTACTGTCCGCCCTGTTTGCCTGCAGCGTGTCATCAGCCTCGTGATGGCTAGACGTGTACAGCCCAAGGTCGCTGCTACATGTGCATGAGTGGCACCCATCTGTACCATCCCAATGTCTCTCTCTGGATTCCTGCGATAATCAGGGCATGGTCGCTGAAGTTGACTTGAAGGTCTGATGTCGAGGAAGTTTTGTGTGCACTCTTATACCCCAATGATGCACGTGCTTCAAGCAATCCGTTCACGAGACTTTCGTGCTTCACGACCTGTTGTAGTGACTTGATTGTTTACAGGCCACTACAATATGGCTGGAATATTGTCATAGAATATGAGTCCGGGATAGAAAGGTGATTGAGTGAGTTAATATTTAACGTCACATCGGCAATATTTCAGCCATAGCGTGACGAAAACAATTCATACAATAAAAAGCGAAAACATTTTGAAGATTAAAACCTGTCGATGATGAACAGTAAAAATACTAGAGAATCACAGATATGCATGTAAAACTAGTGAGTTAAACTAAAACATGTTTATTAAAGAAGACAATACAGAATAAAACACGGGCTATAGATCGCCAACAACTGAAGGTAGATCACCATACTAGGAACCATGGGGACTTACATTACTTTTGCTACCTGCACGGACCCTAGCTGGATGGGATAGAAAAGGGCTCCAGCAAAAAGCAGTCTAAGCAAACTTAGGCTCAGTATTATTCGTTCGCCCAAACACAACATTTTTCATGACAAATGTCAGGGAAGCGTTGTGGCGATTGTTTTAAGCTCATAACTACTTACAAAATTTGAGTTCGAGTCCAAATTATCAAATTCAATTTTAGTGTCGTTTCTTTTGCCCGTTAGTTTAGATTTGTATGCCTATGTTTAACGTTATACATTCAGTATATCAAATGGCTAAACAATCAGTATAAAATATGGCTTGCCATAGACGACGAAAATTGATTTTCCGCTATAGTGTCAAACGACGACAGAGAGGCCACACGCTCATAAAGATAAGGGGGCATAACTCCGCTGTGCTTGACACTTGGTCGTTG